AAAAAGATAATATGGTGGTATGAAAATTCAAAGATGCTACACTTGTTTTGAAGATGGAGGAGGAAACTGGGCTAAGACATATGAACAGTATCTGGAAAAGACAGGAAATGGATTCTCCCCTAGGGCTTCCAGATAGGCCGAAGCCTGCCAACACTGTGATTAGCTCAGTGAGACTGGCTTCTGACCGCTGGGACTATGAGATAATAAACGTGCATTATTTCAAGCTACAAAGTCTGGAAGCAAAAAAAAAAAAAAAAAGTCTGGAAGCACAATCACAGCAATAGAAAATTAATATACCAGCATGTGTAATGAACTTAGCAGCTCAATAATAAAAAGAAAATAACCCAATTTCAAACGTGAGCAGTTTTCCCAGTATGCCATGCCAGCCCCGCCCCTGGGGCATGCTGAGACTGGAATGAGACCAGGTGTGGTGGTGCACACCTGTAATCCCAGCGCTTGAGAAGCTGAAAACAGGATCACTAGGTGTCCAATCTGTGTAGTGAGACCCTGCAGACCCTGTACTAAATACATGAAATAAATACGACCAGTTTGAACATTTTAGAAAGGAAGATATGTGATTGGTCAGTGAACACAATAAAATGCACCATTATACATCCACCAAAATAGCTAAAATGAGAAAGACAAGTTATAGACAATTCTAATGAGAATGGGAAAGAGTTGGAAGATCTTATAAAATTAAAAGCTTATGCAGTTATCCAGTGGTTCCACACTAATTGTTAGATCTAATGAAAAGAAAACATACTATATAAAAACATTTCTATTGAATACTCAGCTTTATTCCTAATAGTTAGAAACTTGCAACCCAAAACCAAGGGTAGTAGCATGCTCCTATAATCCCAGAACTCTGGGAGGCTAAGGTAAGAGAACTGTAAGTTCAAGCCCAGATGGGCACTTTACTGAGGCCCTGTCTCAAAATAAAAAAATTTGAAGCAAGGAAAAAAAAAGGCTAGAGATGTAGCTCAATGTGAAAGCCCTCAGTTCAAACCCTGGTAACTTGGAAAATAAAGAGGAAGGGAGAGAAAGAACCAGGAGAGGAAAACAGTTAAACCATCAAATATTCATATGGTAGAATATTACTCAATAAAAAGATACAACTGATAAATTCAACAGCATGAACTTATTTAGTCTAAGAAGGCTTTCATCAAAAATATGTATGTACATATTTACTATATATATGCTACATATATTTTTTTTACTATATATTTACTATATGAGTGTGTGTGTGTGTGTGTGTGTGTGTGTATGGATACACACACACCATTTTTTTTTTTTTTTTTTTGTGGGGCACCAGGGATCAAACTCAGAAACTTGGGCCTGTCAGGCAAGCACTTGTGCTGCTGAGCTATATCGCTGGCCTGTATATTTAAATTTATATAAAATTCAAGAAAAAGTAAAATTAATCTATTGTACAATAATGTTCAGATGCTGGTGTCTGTAGCAGCTGGTAGTCACCAAGAAGTAACTGGGAAGACAGATACAAGGGAACTGACTTTTCAGATGTTCTGTATATATTCATAGAATTTTTGTGTTACACATGTGTGTCTATATCAAAATTTTTATGTTTCAAAACTCAATGAGTGGGGCTGGTGAGATGGCTCAGTGGTCTAAAGCACCTACTTAGAATAAGCTTAGCAAAGCGCAGGACCACGGTTCAATCCCCCAGCACCACATGCCAGCCAGCCCCGCCCCCTGGTAGGCTGAGCTGGCCACACACACACACACACACACACACACACACAAATAAATAAATAAAATTAAATTTAAAAAAGTTTAAAAAAAAAAAAACTCAATGAGTGTTTTATAGTATTCATTTTCACTCTGACTCTTATTAAAGCTGTTAAAATGTAAAAAAAAAAAACCTCAATGAGTATTTCTGCATTTTATGAAATATAATTTTATTTTTTTAAATTGTGTGTAAATGTTGAACAGTTATTGAAGAATTACATGGAGAAGTGTGAAAGGATGACGTGTGCAGATCTATGAACTTCCTTTGAAAGTATACAAAGTACAGTACAAAGTACATTACAGATGTATAAGGTAGAATCCCTGTGTTTTTGATGTGTACTGTGTTATTCTTTCCATGTTGAAATATTTTCCTAGAATCTTAAAAAGGTATGGAAATGAACTTTTACTGTGCTATTTAAATCATCCTAAAACCATTGTAGAATAAAACATACTTATTTGTCCTAGAATATCAATTAATGGGTTCTCTCATCATCTCACATCTGAAATTAAAATGTTATTCTAATGGTCTAATGAATATATATTGACTAATAAAATTTTAAAGATGTAAATATATTCTTTTCAGCACTAAGTATGTACAACTTTTTAAGGTTTACCATTTAAATCAGCTAATTTCATCTAACATGAAAGTGAGTATACTTTATTAGAATGTAAGCATAAAAATTACAGTATCTTAGTTATACTTGTCACTTTCTGCACAGTTAACTTTATTATTTGAATTTGAAGAGTTTAGTCTTTGGGTCTTTTTTTTTTTTTAATTTGGTACAAGGAATTGAACTCAGGACCTTGCACTTGCCAGGCAGCTGCTTGTGCCACTGAGCTATATCTCCAGCCCAAGAGTTTAGTTTTTTAAAACTAATAATCTTACATCTGAAAGCTGACCCTGGTTTATCCTGAAAAAAATGGAGAAAATTAGGGGAAAAAGGTATGAATATTTCTAAAATCTTTACTACACTACAGAAGGGCCAACCAGCAGTTACATATATAAATACATCAATAGTCATACAAATAGTCAAGCTTAACTCATGGTGTAAAATATTTGACTTTAAGTCTGAGATACTTCTGAATAGGTTCTTTTATAACGTTAAAATAATGTTTGTAATGGATAATGTTATAAAGATTTATGTTATTGACTGCTGAACTTCAGTTTTAAATGGCCTTTGCTAAAGTTTTTTTAAAGCACTTATTCTACTGAACCATCTCCCCAGCCCCTAAAAATTCCTAACTTGCAGTAAAACATTGCATTTGAACTTTTACACTACAGGGTGCCATGATAAAAGTAAATTTAGAAATAAATTATTTTCCAGGTTTTTTTTTTTAGTAATGCAATTCAGGCCATCAATACTTGCTTAGTCCTGCACATTTTCTTCAGACTAGCATACTTAAGTATATAATGTAATTATTGCAAGTTAAAATATAAGTTATTCTTCTGATAAAATGAAAATCATCAAAAAGTTATCAAGAAGAGAATTAATGAACTGGCATCATCATTTGTCATATTTTGTTTTGTTTTTTGAATAAGGGTTTTTTGTTTTGGGGGTGTTTTTTGCTCCAAATGCCTTCAGGGCAGGTTTGGCTGGCTTGAGTTGTGGGGATCGAACCACAGCAACCTGAGCCTGACTGCTTGGTTGAAGCAGCCACTTAAAGAACTGAGCTATGGGGCAGGCCCCCCATTTGTCATATTTTGTAATGTACATTTTTTGAAAAAAAAAAAACTTTGAATCCTTCAGAGTAACAAGTCTGTATATGTTACAGTGCTTTATAACAAGAAATTATAAGATACAAGCCCTCAGTGTCTTCTAAATGTAAATTAGACAAATCTGAGTGAGGATATACTTGAAGAAACTTCTAAGTGTGAATGGATTGTTTGAGATTATGCATTAGGCCTTTTTAATGTTTCTGTTCCCTCTAATTCACTTTTTTTTTTTTTTTTTTTTTTTTGGTAGAACCGGGGATTGAACTCAGTCCCTTGCGCTTGCCAGGGAAGCTCTTATTCCACTGAGCCATCTCCCCGGCCCCTATAAGGTTTTTTTTGGGTTTTTTGTTGCTGTTGTTGTTGGATTTTTTTGCTCCAAATGCCCTCAGGGGTGGTTTGGCTGGATGGAGTGTTGTGGGGATTGAACTACAGAAAGCTGAGGCTGAAAGCTTTGCCGAAGCAGCCACTTAAAGAACTGAGCTAGGGCCAGGCCCCTTCTAATTCACTATTATAACCTCATTTATTTTCACTTTGCCATGCTTTTTAAGGGAAAAGGAGGTTGTTTCACACCATGCATTTTAATGTTTTTCAGTTGAAAATGAAGATGAAGCTGAAAGGATCCTTTACTCATATGGCTACGGTGCAAACGTTCCCACAACAGCTAAAAGACGGCTGAAGCAGAGGTAAAGTCAGTGTTTGATTTATCTTACTCATCTACTCGAGCTGTGTGTAAATCACACTGCTCATTTTGATAACATGCTGCAGTGAATGACAGTGTAACATTCTTTCTTACATTTTATATGTAACTTTATTTTCAGTGTGTGTAAATATTAAATTGCTCATAAAATAAAAATAATCATGCATTTCATGTATATTTAAGTGAGTCTAATGGTGGGTAAAATAGAAGTGTAAATTAGAATTTTTATAGAATTAGATTGAGTGATAATGATGCCATTTATATTTTCTGTTCACATTAATTTCCAGTAAGAACAAATGGTTTGTAGCTGTAACTTCATATTCGATTAATTTATTATGCTTCATCTTTCTCTTTAACTGTGGTGTTTGCCAGACTTCCAAGGCCCTCTATAATGTGCCCCCACCTAGCTGTCTTTATTTGCCTGTCTACCCAAAATGAAAATGGGGTGAGCACTCTGCTTATAAAACACCTTTTTCCTCTATACCGAAATGAAGCATTTCTCCTATTAGAAGTCATTTTTCAGGTAACTCCCCCAGCTAGCTGTAAAGTTGTGTCAGGTCAGCAGTTACATCTTCTTGTTCTCCATCTTTGTGTAGTTGAATGCAGATTACCTGTTAGAAATTGTTTCTTCATGTAAGAATTTGAGGATTCAAAGTTACTTGTCATGTATTTACTTATTTACTTAGGTTGTTTGAGACATGTTCTGGCTATGTAGTTCAGGCTGGCATTGAACACATTATATAGCGCAGGCTAGCCTCAAACTTCATAGTCCTGCCTCAGCCTTTCAGCTGATGGGATTACAGGCAAGCACCACTATGCCTAGCTATGAATTAATGTAGACATATAGAGATATTACAAAATACTACGAAAATATATCCATCTTACCTTTAATAATTTTGTGCAAACTTTAATACCTCAGAGAATAAAATGTCCTTGGATATTTAAAGTGGTACAAGATATAGAACACTTTATAGGAAATAACAAAGGGACTCTTAAAACTTATATCTCTTACTTGCTGAGTGTCTGCCAAATTTAGTTTAAGAATAACTGAATAGTAAGTATATTGGTGGCTAAAATAGTCCACTTTGGTAAAAATTCAAGTATTTCTAAATTGTATATTATTTGAAAAATTCATTGTATGCTGTGTCCCTTTTTGATCCCTCCATAGGTCACAATAAGCACCCTGGAATATTTTACAATTTTAAATATTCTATATCTGTTTTTTAATCCATTGTTACTTAGGGAAGACTAGAAATGTGGTTTGTTTTGTTTTGTTTTGTTTTGTTTTGTTTTGTTTTGTTTTTTTGGCAGAACCAGGGATTGAACTCAGGCCCTTGTGCTTATCAGGCAAGCGCTTATTCTACTGAGCCATCTCCCCTGCCCAAATCTTTTTTTTTTTTTTTTTTTTTTTTCCAGAATGGGGTATTAAACTCAGACCCTTGCGCTTGCCAGGGAAGTGCTTATTCCACTGAGACATCTCCCTGACCCTAGAAATGTAGTTTCATTGGTTTAAAAAAAAAAAAAAAAGACTTCTTCTCTATAGAATTGATTAAAAAATACCAAAAATTGAAGTTTAAGGGGAAAACTCCATTTTCTTTTCTATTTTACAGCTGAGTCCCTTAAAAAAAAAAAAAAAAAAAAAAAAATCTTGTTATAAGAAAAAAAGAATTTCACTGTTGGGAACTTTCTTTCTTTATCCCAAAAGCTGAGTTCTTCTGAATTTGAAAGAATTATTATTATACCTTACTGTATTTTTAAAGAATTTTCTAAAATAGAAGTTGTTTTCTTTATATTTAAAGATTTAAAGAATCACAACTGATTCCTGTTCTACATAATCTTAACTGTCCAAATATTTCTGAAGATTTTATCACTGAGCTATCTGTGTGCCTTGAACAAGTGCCTAATGGGTGTGCTATTAATATCTGGTGCCAGCTGGTGCCAGGCATTCTTCTCATGGTGAGCCAGAGGGTTATTTTGAGGAAGTGCTTCTCAGGTCATCTAAACTAAAGGCAGGGAAAGTCAGTCCAGCTAGCCAAAAAGGACATGTATGAATTCCTACCCCCATTTAGCTAGCAACTTTTATTGAGTGCCTACTGTATGCACAAAGTTGACCAGTGGTACAAAAGACACTAGTTTAGGGTCTGATGCATATCTGAAGTTTGCAAAATCTACATTTGATTTTTTAGGGGACATTAGTTTAAAGAAAAAAAGAAAGAAACGTGTGTGTTTGTTCTTTTCAGACAGACTCTCACTGTATACTGTTTCTCAGGCAGGCCTTGAATTCAGTGTAGCCCATACTGACCTCAAACTCACAGTGATCTTTTCAACCCAAACCTCTCAAGTACTAGAATAACAGGCATGCAGTACCACACCCAGCCAAATTTAATTTTATATAAGACAAAGCAATGTCACCTTTAACAAAATCTATACTTAGTCCTTCACATTTGATAGTAAAGCAGTAATTTGATAGGTGAATTACTCAGAACACTAAATGAAATATTTGCTTATCAGTATGGTTTTCCGTGCACATATGCAGTCTATACTAAAATATATTGAATTTTTTAAATTTATTTATTTATTTTTGTGGAACCGGGGACTGAACTCAGGCCCTTGCGCTTGCCAGGCAAGCATGTATTCTACTGAGCCATTTCCCCGGCCCCAATATATTAAATTTTTAAAGGAACTTTTTTCCTGACTACTATGCAATACATTGTAGTTTTACTAAATTTGATTTAAAATTAACATATTTGAGAGGAGTTAGGTGTTATACGGTAAGACTTAATTAGAGGACGATTTCTGATTATGAATACTTATCTTACAAAATTAAAAAAATACTGGCAATCCCACCATCCAAGATAATCATTTAGGTGAGACCTTGTACCAGATACATAAAAAAAAGAAAGATTGGAAATTTATACACATATCTTTTAACATATTTAGGGCATTGTGTGTAATTCAGCAATTAATCTTTTATCCTGACGTTTTATCCTGAACATTTTCTTGTTAATGAATATTCTTCAAAATATCCAAAACAGTAATTTTCAGGACTTCTGTTTTTGAGAACTATATTGCTGTGCAGATACATAACCAATGAAAAATTTTATTAGTTGCTTTTGGCTACCTAAGAAATATTGTGAAATTAATATGAGATAATAAGGGCTGGGGAGATAGCTCAGTAGAGTAAGTGCTTGCCTGGCCAGCACAGGGCCTGAGTTCAATCCTCAGTTCTGAAAGAAAAAAAAAAAAAAAAGATATACCATGCCTGACAGAGAGTAGATATTCAGTAAGTGCTAATTGGCCATATCAGGTTGTGTATATTAAAATAAATTCCATAAAGGAAAGACTAGGGCTCCAAAACCTTTTAGCATAATTTGACTATTCATTAAGATAATTGTTTCAAAGTTTTAATGAAACATCCTGAAATGTATAAATGGACCTGAAACTAGGTTTTAGATTCACTTTCTTTGATATCAGTCAGTTTCATAGGACATTATATTATACTGTCAACTTTTTTTTTCCTATATTTAGGGCAGAGTCTACAGGTTGTTCAGGGTCTCACTACATAGATCTGGCTTGCAGTGATCCTTCTGTTTACAGCCTCCCAAGTGCTGGGATTACAAGCAAACCCCACCACGCCCAGTCTGATTCGCCATCTCAGTACACCCCAAGGGCGATACTAGCACAGCACAGCAGCGATCGAAACCTGACCACTGCGCTCTGCCGAACCAGGAGCTTTAGTCCACTGAGCTATCAGGCCAGCCCAATACTGTCAACTTTCTATAAAATAACACAATCAACTTTTCTGGTTTTAAAAATAACAATTCAAGGGGCTGGGGAGATGGCTCAGTAGAATAAGCACTTCCCTGGCAAGCGCAAGGTCCTGAGTTTAATCCCCAGTTCCACCAAGTTTAATCCCTGGTTCTGCCAAAAATAATAGTAATAGTAATAATAATAATAATAATAATAATAACTACTCAAAATTTCTCTTAATGTTATAATTATGACATTAAGGGTAATGCACACTTTGAAGTTTTATGGAAATACAAGAGCTAAATATTGTGTTAAACTTTCTGGGACACTGTGGGAAGTTGAAAAAACTTAAAGCAGATTAAAATAAAATGGTCACTTCTTGACTAAACTTGAAAACCTAAAATAATATTTTTGTTATATCAAATAAATAATGAGCTATTTTCAGTGTAGCAAATAAGATTTTGTAGTTGTAGGTTTTGATTGTGGGGCCCCTACTTGTTTTGGCTGCTCTGGATATTGGAGGACTTCTCTAAAAGTTGGTAAACGCTTCAAATTGTAAGGCTTAGTGCATACTGTTGGCTTTTTGTTAGTCCTACATGGTCTAATAAAGAGCTTTGAGCTGAAATTTTCAGTGTGCTGATCTTCACAATAAAGAAAAAAGTGAACAGAAGAACCTGAGAAAATTTTATACATTCTCATTTTTATTTCTAGGAAACTTGTACTTACTGCCATTCCATTCATGATCAGTTTAAAAGTATACATACACAGAAGCCAGTAGAGGAAGTCTGTGTAACTACAGAAATCAGTATGAGTCCACTATGGCATCCTTAGAGAGTGGATAGCACAGAGATCCACATGAAGCTTCATGTGCTCATTTTTTTTTTTTTCATTTTAAAGTAATCTTTATTCCTTGTTTAATACATGGTCTAATGTCAGGTTATTGTTTAAACAGGCATATAATTAGCTTTCTAGGATTTTTTTAAAAACACAAAGTATGCTTTAAAAGCCTTTTGGTTTTTTTTCATAATTTTACTGAGAAACAAATAGCAATGAGAAAGTTTCAAATCAAATTGGTAGGACAGTTTCAATAATTAACACACTGCATACTCTCTTCCTAGTGGTTAAGTGCTGTACAAGATGCGGACATGATATCCTACTTACAAACACCATTAGAATAAATCCCTCTATTCATTTAGAGAATGTAACTATATATCTATCCTAACCGCTTTGAATACA